CAGAATATATTAATTATCCTATAAATGAATAATGCAAAGGCCAAAACTTATTCATACTATGAATGACTAGAAAATAAATGTCACCAACATTGACTCAATTAGTAGTATAAAATCTGAATGACCCCAAATTTTGGAAAACACTGAAAGAGCTAACAAGATGTTACTTCTAAAAATATTCCAAAATTCAAGTGACAAAATTCTTATTACTATTAAAATTAATGCAATTAATTATTGTAATTTATTGTATTTAATGTATTCATATAAGATGTTAGTAGTCAGTGAAATTGGATGTAGAGTGTATGAGGACACTGTACTACCTTTGCAGTTTTTCTGTAAACCTAAAAATGTTTTAGATTAATTTTTTTTAATGTTTGTAAAGGTAATAGATTTTTTTTAAAGTACAGCAATTTATTAAACAAATACCTTTTATTTTTCTGATTTTTGTCCTGAAACAGGAAGAAATACCAAAAATATTTCATTGCTGAGGACTAAAACTCCAAATTGCAATGTACAAGATGGTTGGTGAGAAGTAAACAAAAGTAATTGTATGCCATCATACGAAAAGCAAGTCACATACAGAATAAAATTTGTTCCTGTACTATATCTACTAAGTTAAATCATGATGCTAATAATTATCAAATTACTACTAAGTATTTTCTTAGAATATATTATATGTATAGGAGTATATTCTAGTTCCTGACTGGGTTCACAAGAAATATAAAACCTAGGTCTACTATATATTCTTTTCTTCCTTCAAAGTGAGATAGTGGCATGGACATATATATATACACTACCAAATGCAAAATAGATAGCTAGTGGGAGCAACCGCATAGCATAGGGAGATCAGCTCAGTGCTTAGTGACCACCTAGAGGGGTGGGATAGGGAGGGTGGGAGGGAGACACAAGAGGGAGGGGATATGGGGATATATGTATATTGTATAGCTGATGCACTTTGTTATACAGCAGAAACTAACACAACACTGTAAAGCAATTATACTCCAATAAAGATGTTAAAAAAAGAAAAGAACACATGGTGTTATGGGGATGGATGGTGGTGATGGCTGCACAACAATGTGAAAGTATTTAATACCACTGAACTGTGGACTTAAAATTGGTACATTTTATATTATGTTTACCACAATTTAAAAAAGGAAGGTAATAGATTTTTGATAGCCAAAACAATCAGTTAGAAAATAAACTGGAATATAAAAGTGCCATTAAGCAAACAAGTAGTACACAAATATTCAGGAATAAATTTAGCTAAAATCAGTCATTTAAGGCAAAAACAAAACCAAAACCCAAAAAACACAGAACTGTACAACATTTAAAAGTAGAATCTACAAATAAATGCTCCTTTATAGGAAAAGTAATAAATATTATAGAAATTTCTATTCTTCCAAAATTAAAAGTTTACCTCAACCAAACTGCCCACAGCATTCAGTTTTGGGGGCAATAGAATGAGAAAGATATACTAGTAAAATATTTTCTGTTTTACAAAAGGTAAAAGTTGTTCAATTATTCCTTGTCTAATAATTTAGGTTGGGAAGGCAATAAGTGAGGGTCGCTCAAGATATGTGGAAATTAGTCCCACACTGTGATCGTGTAAATGCAGAGGTATCAATAATGAGAGGATCTGCACAGGCAAACATTTTTAATAACATCAGCTATTTATCACTTTAAACTAAAAGCAGCCCTGTCCTTGAGATCATAAACTAGACTTATATACCAGCAATTCTGGAAAAAATATATAGTACCATAAGAATCATACCAACCTTTTCTTTTTAAAGTATATTTTCCCATGTACAATAAAAATAATCTTTATTTTTAACTTCAAATTGGATAAGGAGGTGTATTTCTTCAATTCTTATCAGAACTAACTCTAGAGTACAGTAAATGAGTAAATGTGGAATTCTCTTTTTGTTTTAAAGAAGTTTTAATATTTTATTTATTTTTATTTTTTGGCTGCATACCATGTGGGATCTTAGTTCCCTGACCAGGGATCGAACCCGCACTCCCTGCACTGGAAGCGCAGAATCTTAACCACTGGACCTTCAGGGAAGTCCATGGAATTCTCTTTCTTTACTATTCCTTTTTTTTCCCCACACTGTCTCTGTATTTCCTCTTTTCATTATAAAGAGTCTTTACTCTTCTTATCGGAAGAAATTATACACAAATCACACTAATTTCTGAAAGAAGTGCATTTCGACACTGCTTGAATTCTGAGGAAAACAAAACTCACATCTATAGGAAAAAAATTATAATTCTTGGACGATTACTGATTTTGTGAACAAAATTCAAAATGATGCATAAATAAAATGAAAGCAATTGATAATAAAGAGGGGAAAATATGGTATCAGCAGAGATTGTGGTAAAATTAAAAATAGAAGGGGAACATTATATCAAAGACTAAATTATGAAAAAAATTCACTCAATGGAGTAGAAGGCAAATGAAAAAAACTTAGAAAATCAGAGGTGACAGATGAAAGACTAAGAGAAATGATAAACAGCATGGAGGATACGGGAATTAGATCCAATCTACATATATTGGGGTGAGCAGATAAGGAAGGTAAGCATACCAATCAAAAATAAATATATAAAGAGTAGTATCAAGGAGAAAGAGAAAAAAATACCTCGATACGTACACATAACAAAACATAAACAAAACTAAGATAGATTTCTTACAAATGAACAAGGTTAAACACTTCAGACACAGACTAGCAGAAGTTTTTAAAGCACTTTTGCCTTTTTGGGGGCAATTGTTATGAGCCCATAAATTTATAGTTGGTCAAGTTTGTCTTGTTCACAAAACAAAGAGTCATTCTTAGGTATGAAAAATGAAGCATAACCCTCACGTTTCTTTGGTTTACAAACTATTAAACATGTAAATCAACTAACAAAGATGAAAAAATAAGAAATTACAGATGAATTGCAATACTAAATAAATAGTATTGAGCAATAAAATGATCTAAACGTGAATTAAAATATAATTGTTGAAATATAAAACCATGCAAATGTGACAAATCTTTAAAGAGATACTGTGAATGGAAAATCTCTGCCTAAAATTCAAGATTACATAAACACATGAGTAACAGTGGTAAGATTACATAAAAGCATGCCACATCACATCCCGCACAGATGAAACTGGGGTGAGTAGAGATTAAATGACCCAATTTTCTTCCTAACCCCATTAATTAAAAAAAAAGTTCAGACATGAGGGCTTCTTTTGCTTTTAACCACCATCAGAATAAAATAGAATAAGTACATTTCAAATCACTAAAGAAAGAAAAATATTAGCGATACAGCGGAATATGTGGGAAAACAGCAAAAACACATATACCTACAGGCTGGAATACTGTGCAGATATTACAAATCATTCCATTTTAGAATATTTAACGACTGGAGGACAGGCTCATGACATAACATTAAGGCACACAGATATCTATACAATTTGATATCAACTTTATGAAAATAAACCACATGTGCACAGAAAACAGAAACAACACCAACCGATTTACAGGTTTCTCAGTACAGAGGGATTATGAGGAATTATTTTTCTTCTTTATTACATTTCTATATATTTGAAGTAATCAAAATAAAGATATGTAACATCTATTTGTCTTTGCCTAGCATTAAATCACATCAGTTACTATGTGTTACTGTATGTTGATTATTTAAGTAGAATACATTATCCAAAAATTAAAAAATGGTGACAACAGAGACATTTTCAAAATGAGAGACTTTCCTATATATTTCATAAACTTGAAAGGGCAAATATTTTTCTTATGTGAAAACTAACAGTAGATATAAGTTCCCTGATATGCCTAAAGAGAAATGTGCAGAGACCACGGTAATGTGTGCACAGCAGATTAAAAATGGCCACAATTTCGAGAGGTGCCGTCTATGTTCCGATCCCTGATTCTGCGTGGGTTCATTGACAATTTTGATCAACAGAATACAGTGAAAGAGCCGTTGAAACTTTTAGCACACCTGTCTCTTGCAACACTTGCTTTCGGATCCCTGTCACCATACTACAAGAAGCCCAAACCACACGAAGAAGCCTTGTGTAAGGAGACACTCTAGTTAATAGCCCCAGCTGAGCCCTGCGTAGTCCCGAAATGACACCTGTATCAATTGCTAGCCATCTGAAATCCAACCATCTTGAGCATCCAACTAGTGGAGCCATTAATGACATAAACCCCGCCCACCACCTGACTGCAAAGGCACGGGAGACCCCAAGCAGGAGCTGCCCAGTTGAGCCCCAAAGAATGGTGAGAGAGAAGTTGTTTTAAGCCACTTCGTTTTAAAGTGGTTTGTTCTGCAGCAGTAGGTAACTGCAATAATATGAGTAGATGCAGGGTGTGTGTGTGTGTGTGTGTGTGTGTGTGTGTGTGTGTGTGTGAGAGAGAGAGAGAGAGAGAGAGAGAGAGAGAGAGAGAGAGAGAGAGGGGATTAGTACGCAGAGAAAACATTTAAATCCAGTAAGTCTTGGCAAGATTTATAATAGGGTCCTGTGTTATAAACAACTATTCCTTGAGATAAAGCAAAATCATCCCTTCAGGTATTGGAAAACAAAAATATTATTATGATCTTCATTTTCAAAAACAGAAATATGTTACACTTAGGCTAAATTCATCAGTAATCAAAGGTGAGATAAGTAAACATTAAAATTAAATCTCAGGTTCAGAGACACAAATAATTAAACTTAAGGGCAACCCTAAGTATACTTACTGAGAATCTATTATATGCAAAATTCTCTTTTAGGTTTTATTATGTTTGTTTCACAGCAACTTGTCAACTTCTGAAAACTATAAAACTAAATGTTATATGCTTCTGCTTCCAATAGTTATATTGGTCATAAAGCACTTAGGATGCAAGTATATTTAAGTATCATTATGAAGATAGCTGCATTTATGTTCAGAATTACCAAATGAACAGTCATTTTACATAATGCACAATGCACAACTAATGAACATTCAAAATAATAGAGAAATAAAACTAACCTGGGCCATTTAAATACTGTGTAAGCGAACAGTGTAGACGGACAATTATAGGTTCTGTTCGAATCACTTCCCAGGCCACAGCAATCTCCTCCTGTGCAAATATTTGAAAGATGAATTAGTCATCTTTTAGAGTTCTTGATTTTTTTTCCAGATAAAATTTTTTAAACTTATTTTAAATCATTAAGGCCTATAAATTATTTCAAAACCTATTCGCTTGTGAAAAGAAAGCCAAAGTACTCTTAATTTTTGCCTTCTAAATCTGAAAATTAAAGTGAAAACTTAAGAAATAATGATATACTACAAGCCCATAAGTTTCAGAATATATTACAAGAACTGATGGAAAAAATATATATGTATATAAAACCTCTGCTTTTTTGACAAGTCATAGCATTTCTTCATAAGTCACTTTGACAAAGTCATTATGTTACTTATAGTATTATGTACAAGAGAAACTAAAATTAAATTTCTTCCAAGAATAAAAGTGTTTTTTAAATGTACCAATCATATTGCTTCAATGGATACTTACATCAAGAAAGCTAACATCAATATGCAGATCAATATCTACATCATCAATGGCTCCATATTCCCTGAAAGCAAAGATTAACATTATTTTTTTCATTTTGCTTAAAAGGTAGTGTGTCCTACCTTATTTTACATTAAAACTTAATCATGAATTTTCATCTCTGATTTCCAAAGATAGCTCAGAAATGACTGTGGGCATGAATTAACTAACTCAATTTAGTTGGATTGTGGTCTTATGTGACCTCTTTATACCATATAGATATCTTTCCATCTTCATATTCAGGCAAATGCATACATAAATTCAAGAGTTATTTGGTTCATAGTTTCACACATTCCCAGTTCTCTGTGACAAATTAAACAATCTTATGTGACCACTTGCTTTTCACTGTACTCTCTGAAGATGAAAAGCCGCCTCTAAGGACAAGAAAGGGGTTTCTGACACAAGGAAGGGGTGGAGGGATAAGTGACTGCCACAATAACGTGCCCATAAATTTTCCTATCACATTAGACGGTGGTTCTGAAACTGGCCCAGGTGCTCTGCCACTTAAATGTCACTATGTTTTGACAGGCAGCTCTAAAGGTCTGATGTATCAAAATTAAAACAAGTAACAACAGTATATTCCACATAAAGACATTATGGAGACCAACTTTTCTCCAGCCAACATAGTGCCACAAACTAGCATATAGTTAACAAAGATCATAAAAACAGCAATTTTTATATACACACATCCCTATTTTTGATATTTTAATAAATTTCTTAAGTTACAAATACAAATCATAGTGAGGGAGAAAACTATAGAGATAACAGAAATTATAAAAGTTAATAGCCAATATTTTTTGAGATTTGGCCAGAAATCGTTCTAAGGATTTTGCATACCTGCGATCCTAGTGCCCTATAGGTACTACTACCATTTCCAATTTATGTCCATTAACTGAGGCTCAGAGTAATAAAGTAACTCACCTGTCATCACTTTGTAGCAGAGCTGGGATGTGAATACACATATCCTATTTACTTATGCAAGTGCTTAGCCGATTCAATAGTCAATAAACTATCACTTTGTGTTGGAAACCAGGTCAAACATTAATGGATGATCTCATTAGGTCCTCATTATAGCCTTCTGACAGGGATACTATAATTATCCTCATTTGCAAATGAGGAAACTGAGGTTTAGGAAAACGAAACAAGTTGTCAAAGGGCAGATAAGAAGTCAGTGGGAAGCCAGGCATTGAACTCACGTTCAACTTCAAAATTGTACAGTACAGTATCTGGCACATAGTAAGTACTCAATGAAAATTTCTGTGTATGATATATGCAAATAATGCTAACAGAGTACAAAACTATGGCACTTTTATAGGGTTTAGAGAAGGCATTTTTAATGATTAAATGGCTTTATGTAATTTGATGAATAAAGGAATCTAGAGGGTACTTTCGCTTTTTGATATCAATGACCAAAAAAATGCAGCATGTTAGAAAATAATAACTCAGCCTCTATGCTTTCTCCATCCTCTCCTTAAAAATATATCAAAACACTGAGCACATTTTCACTATTTATGAAATTACTTTTTGTTTTTTCATGGTCATATTTTTAAAGGTTACATAAAGAAGAAAAGGGATAAAATTATTCACAGGAATTCTTTAATTGCCTGCGTCAGAACATCTGTGCTATTCATAAAGGATAAAAACCTTTATAACCCTTTACAAATATAGACATATATGTAAATTTAGATACAAAAGTATGCCAAGTTAGTTATGAAATTATACAGAAACTAAGACAAGAAGGACCAAGCACAAGAACCATTTCTTTTATGTCTCTACTTCAGGGTTCAGAAAACTTTTCCTATAAAGGTCAAAAGAGTAAATATTTTAGGTTTTTCAGGCCACATAGAGTCTCTGTTGCATATTTCTCTTTATTTGGGTTTTTTTTTTTAACAACCCTTTAAAAAAGCAAACACCATGAGCTGTTCAAAACAGGCCCCATGGCCCAGTGGTCATAATTTGCTGACCCTGAACACCAGCAAATTATTCATAATATAAGAAGTCAAATAACCTACAGCCAGGCATGTTAAAAGAGAGCCATTAAATACAATGATGAGGATAGATCACTAACGATGTGCAAAAGACATTTTGGTGAGACAAAGAGGCCTTGACAACAACCATACCCAAGAAAATTATAACAAATACGTGCAAACTTTTACCTAGAAGGATGTATGTAAGAGTAGAAATTAGAAAAAAAAAAAAAAGAATATTGAATAATAAGGAAATAAACGATGGCACATTGATATAATTTTTTAAATTTACCCATTATTAAAAATATTGATATAAAAACATTTAGTATCCTGAGGGAAATGTTCCAAATATACTGTTCACTGAGCAAGCAGATTACCAAAACACTATGGAAACTAAAACACTTTATTTAGATAAAATAGAAATAGGAAAACCAAAAAAGTATAGAGTACTTATATATTAACTATAGGTTGTGGATAAAATTTATTTTATTAAAAAATGTTATGTATTTTCTAAAAAATATCTACTTTTTCTGATTACAATGGTAATATCGACTCATTATATAAAATGTGAGAAAGAGAAAAACGGACAATAGATAACTTGTAACACAGTCACTCAGAGACAATTCTTTTTGCTTATATCTCACTCCAGTCTCTTTCATATATTAATATATCATGTAATACACATGATTATTATTAAGGATAATAAGGTATGTAAAGATTTTTGTTCGGCTTTTTCACTTTTTCTATAATGAGTATTTTTTATATTGTGGAATATTCTTCAAAACCATAAATTTAAATGTCTGTATTTATATGAATAAAATTATGTAATACAACATTAGGTTGCTTTCAGTTTTTTTACACTATAAATATTGATAAATAGCTCTCTGGATAAAAATCGATGCACAGCTGTCTTCCCAGAGAATAATTTCTAGAATTACTGAGTAAAATAAATAGTATAACTATATTTGGGAGTCTTAATATATACTGTTTACTTGCTATTTTAAAAGGTTAAAACAACTTATAATCGCACCAGCGAAGATCCCCCAGTGACCATTTTCCACATGCTCATCATCGCCAGGCATTTTTTTCTCCCATCTTTGCCAGTTTCAGAGGGGAGAATAATTTTGGATTTATTTATGATGGCAAGACTTGGGTATGTTTAGAGGCAGAGAAAAAGGAATCAGAGATAACAAAAGTCAGCACAAACCTTACCCACAGCTGTTTTCTTCAAAAATAGATTTCCAGATCATTTCAACAGAATTTATCATAACGTTATGATCAGAATGTGATATACGTTCCTCATAAAACCTTTAATATGTGAATTCTGAAGTATTCCTTATATGATTTCTTCAACACTTTTTTGGTTAAAAGTATTTTCCCAGTTCCCAATACTATCAATTTCTTTCCAAAAAAAAGTAGCTAAAGGGTTACAAGTGTTCTTCTTCACCATAGCAGAGCATAAATACAGAATTTTAAGGAGGCAGAGGCATTAAAGGTTTGCAATTAACTGGATTCTGTAAATAGTTACACTTTTGTTTTTATGCCACACTTCAAAGAACGCACAACACCACTGTGTATATGCAAACCAATTTCCCTTGTGATGCCCTTTTTATATATTGCCAGTAATTTCACGTTTCCCACTGCGAGATTACAAAGCGTGATTACAGTCTGTCCAGATGCAGCGGCCCAGTCATCAGGATTGTTTCTGTATCTGCGTATCTTTCAGTAGCCCTAGATCTCATGAATAGCAAACGCAGAATCAAGGCGAATGCTTGAAATACGAATGCAACTTGAACTGTGAATCTTGATATCTGATTGTGTACTGAATGCTGTATCAGGTTTATAATAATTCAAAATAATTCCGTGCACTGCCTATATTTATTCACTATGAAAAGATCACATCAAATTGAACTTGAATACTTTTTTAAGAGAAGGGAGACTACACAGAAATGATCTGATGCAGTTGTTTCACTCTGGGACTGAGGGTTTGAGAAGAACTGCTCCACAAATTTCTTTCCAGCATCTGAGTTATTAGTCTTTGAATTGACATATCTTGAAATCCAGCCATCTGATTTGGACTACTTGCATGTGACCTAGTTCATTTAAGAACATATGTATGAAATATATTTTTCTATGAACATGCATTGTTGAGGGCACTATGTGTTAGAATTCTTAGCAATTCATTCTCCTGTTTTTTAGTGGAACTAATCAAGACAACATCCTCATTAATGCTACCACATACATACTTATAATATATTAAATGTTAGACCATCTATGTTGGTCCTCCATTCTCTATAAAACCACAGCTTATTTATTATACTGTTGTGATGTTTTATAATACTATCTGTTCAAAATTAGCAGGACTGTGCTGGTTATAAAAATATATTTTAGACAGATAGCCTTCCCTTATCAACTGTCAAGGAAATTATAAGCGTACACACACATACATGAAACTCTATCACAAGTTCTTGGGAAATAAACCTCTATTGCTATTTAGTTATTTCTGCTTTCAACAATTAGTCAGTTATATTTGGAGAAGAAATATATTTTGTGAAGAAACATACACCTTCCTATGACATCTGAAACTCAACAGCTTGTGTGTCTATCTCTGCATGCCTACTCAGTGTGTGTTTCATGCTCAGTGTGGGAGAGATGTTTGTGAATGGGCCAAGAAATATGCAAACTCAGTAGTTGGGAAGAAGTCTTGGCAGATTAAAGCATTTGCAAGACTGTATTCATGGTAGCTATAAATTTCTCTAAAGGACAACAGGGCTAAGAAGAATTTAAAAATTAGATCCAGATAAGAAAGGAAACCCATATAAAATAACAGTGTATAAGAGGTACAGTGTAAACACTTGCTACAACTCTGCCCTCCATTTAAAAGTCCTTGGTTTTGCTTGAGGAAAGCACAGGCATTGGAAGTAGAGGTGACTGTTTGGGATCTCACATTCTGAAGCTTGCATCTAGGTTTTATGCCAGTGTCTTTGAAAAATAGTCTCCTGTTTGTTTCTTTCTTCTGTGTGCCTCCTGCCATCACTTTCCCCTGGTTTTCAGTTCAGACTGCTTTTCCGTAGGCTCCAGAGGTAGAAGCGGGAGAATCAGTATGCTGCAAAGGACATTACAAACATCCAACCCAAGATCTTTTGACGAATGACATACTTTGGTGTAGGTTAAGTTATGCTGTAGTAACAAACATCCTCAAAATCTCACTGGTTTAACACACAAAAAAAGGATTTATATCTCACTCACACTACCTGCTTACTATGGAATCAGAGGACTAGAAAGAATGCTATTCATTGCAGTCGCCAAGGGGCCCAGAGTGGTGGAGTACTGAAGATGTGGGAACTCACACACTAGCACTTTGGTTCACATTTCACTGGCCAACACTAGTTGTGTGTCCACTGCTGATATTATAAGAGGTAGGGACGGGACTTCCCTGGTGGTGCAGTGGTTAAGAATCCTCCTGCCAATGCAGGGGACACGGGTTTGAGCCCTGGTCCAGGAAGATCCCACATGCTACGGAGCAACTAAGCCCGTGCGAAGCCACAGCTGCTGAGCTTGCGCTCTAGAGCCCGTGAGCCACAACTACTGAGCCTACGTGCACAACTACCGAAGCCCGCGCACCTAGAGCCCATGCTCCGCAACAAAAGAAGCCATCGCAAGGAGAAGCCCGCGCACCGCAATGAAGAGTAGCCCCCGCCGCTCGCCGCAAAAGCCCACGCACATCAATGAAGACCCAACGCAGCGAAAAAATTAATTAATTAATTAATTTAAAAAAAAAAAAAGAGGTAGGGAAATACAATCCTGCCATCTGCCAGAAGAGGAGAACTAGAGATTTGTTAAGTAGTCCTACTGGCCCACTACTAATGGAAATCCAGAGAAATTAAAGTGGTCCACCCTGATTTATGTGGCTTTTTCTTTCCTTTTCTTTCTCTCTCTCTCTCTCAACCTCTCTCTCTCTCTTTTCCATGAGATATATGTTTGGGTGGTGGGCCTGAATATAGTGGCATAGCTTCCTCAAACCTTAAAAAAGTCCTCTGCATGCCCCGTCCTCCAAAACATCAACTCCAAAATTACAATCATCCAACCACAAAAAGTGATCAAAATGAATAGTCAAAATCTTGCAGTCTTCCAACCTACTTTAACATTAGCCACAATACAAAGATTAGAATATTACTCAGCTGCCTTCAGTTCTTTAAAGGGATGATGGATGATCATAAAGCAAAGGATATTTTATTTGGGGTAAAAGTCTGAAACATCATCAGCAAATTATCAGAATCATTTCATTCCCAACCAAATGAGAATTTTGTAATTTGTAATTCTCTGCTTTCTAAAAATATTAATCTCAAATTGTTTTCAATAGCACTGATCATTTTTTAAATGAATACATGACTATAGGAGTAAATTTATAATAAAAACATAAAATAACCGCATTTTGTTGCATGATTCAAGATGAGACACATGCAGACTGATCAGGGGGTTAACCATGCTCCCCCAGAGACCTAACTCACTTCCTGCACAAGAGCCTGTGAATCAGAATTGTCATCAATGTTTCCAAGTACGGTTCAACCCAGCCAGAATGCTGCTTTTGAATGATTTGGCCAGGTAGAGCTAAAATTACCTACTTAAGTAATAAATTTATCATCGGTCACTTTTTCTATAGCCTCCCTCAACCTACTAAAAGAGAGTTTTGCCCAATTGAGGCAATCTCTGTTTTTTTTCTTCTCTTAAAGAGAACTTAGATGTGGTTAGCTGCCTTTCTCATTAGATGTCACATTAAAAAAAATGACAGCAAATAGCATATTATGCATATTGAGGTACTTTTGCTCTTCAAACTCCATTAAGTTCTTATGAAACTCAATTAAGTAAAAGAACAGCTAATTAGAACAGTCTGTTTTCAATAGACTTAAAACTTTGCAAAGAAGGTGACTCCAAGATCTTAGGCCTAACTACTCCTTTCTCCCATATGTCCAAGCCACAGTATTTGAGACCAGACAGTAAATTCATTCTTATCTATTTTAAGTAAATCACACTAGTCCTGCTGTGATTTCCCTTTATATCATGAGGCCTCTGGGAGGTTATTTATTCTGGAAACATCCTCTGTAGTTAGAGGAAATCTAGAGCAGGCAAGAACACGGCTTGCATTCATTGAGAGTTAAATTGGACCAAAACTTGTAAGTGAAAGAGGCAAAGGGAAAATAATCAAAACCATTTATGACTTTAGATACTTTACTTGAATGAAATTCCAGATATTTATCTAATTTCAACAGTCCATAAATTATCAATATTTTATTAATAATGGAAGATACTAATAGAAATTATAAGTATTTACCTTATGATAGTAATATAAGAAATTATCAAATGCTTGCTGAAGAAACAAAAATATTCATATATATATACATATATATGATATGATTGAGGCCTAAATAGCATGGAAATATACGTAAAAAAACTTTATAAAAGCAATCAATGTGTGGTAAAGTGATTCTCTAAACAAAAATACATATTTCAAATGAAAAGCAGCTAAATTCTATGTTGTGTTGAATTAATCACATACAGACATTTTTCTTTCATGGGGGAGAGGGTTAAACTACTGCAATTAAAGTTTTAAGCTTTCAACCAAAGTTTGACGAAAGTTAAAAAAATTAGTCATTGTTTTGTTCAATTTATTTATTTAGGCAGAGCCACACAGCTTGTGGGATCTTAGTTCCCCTACCAGGGATAGAACCCAGGTTCTCAGCAGTGAGAGCGTGGAGTCTTAACCACTGGATCGCCAGGGAATCCCTGGACAATTTATTGATAGTCCCTGTTGCCTTCTTCATTTATTCATTCTATAATACTTATGGAATCTCCATATTCCTTATCCTGGAGCCAGAGCATAGATCAATTGTGAAATGATCACAGCTAATTTGCTAAAACTTTGGAAATTGCAAAGATTTGCTTTTCCAAGTATAATCCCAATCACCCTCACTCAGTTGTAGCCCAATATCCCTCCATGAGCAGGAGGGAGAGGGTCCGGGTGTACGATCCCAGCTTATTTAGGCCACAGGTGGTTGTGAGTTTCTGCAGGCAAAATGAAACAGTTAGCAATTATAAATTACAGCTGTGTTATACTCCCTTAAGTATTCGTTTGCTCTCTCAAAATCTCCGTATGTTCACTGAAAAGAATATAACCAGATAATATGAACATTTTTCACAGACGTTCCACTGAAAACAGTCAAGAAGCCCCCAGCTTATATTTCATATATGCCCTGTGCCAGGCTAAGTACTGGAGTACAAGCAGGATTGAAAACCAAACCAACACAAAATAAAGGCAAATAACAAAAAAGTGTGCTGCCCCAGCACTCACAGAATTCAGTCTAGAGGGGGAGAAGTAAACCCATAACGACAAGACATGAAGAGACTAATAAATGAGATTAAGAGCCAAATGTGATGGGAGTGCAGACGGCAGAATAACCAGTCTGCATCAGAGATTCAAGGAAGGCTCAAAGAAAAGCTGACCTTTAGACTGGGGCTTGAATAAAGACAGCAACCAGGTTTGAGAGGGAAGCACTGCTTGGGCAAATGGACAAAGTCAAGGGGAAATACAGCACGTTTCGAGAACAGAAACAATCCTGGTTTGGGTGGATGAGGCTGGAACTGAGGTCAGGCTGTGAGAGGAGTCTGCAGACTTGGAGACCACCCTTTAGGAAGATAACAAAAATCTGAAAAATCAGATCTGACTCATGGAAGGAAACAAGTATGATGGCAGAAAAGGGTTTTTCTTAAGGAGAGAAAAGAAAGTCTAAATAGGGATGGTGGGGGTCTTCTGAATGATTAAAGTAATAGAAAATGGCCTGGAAATTTATCACCAAATAATATATTAAGTAACTGCAACAAAAAAAATAATTATCATTCAAACACACATTGCACAAACTTATGTCTTTTTTTCCTTTCTTTTTTTAGGGGCCAGATTACATATCACAATGTGATTTGGATACCAGTGGTTATGCATTATTTACTTTTATTGTTCACACAAATATGTCCTTAATTTATGATAACAACATGGGCTCAGCTGGCCAAATCTGTTACAGGAATTGATTATAATGCCACTCAAGACTGATATTTTATCAGACTAACTCTCCAAAAATAACTCATTTCTTTAATGAAATCAATGTAATCTTAAACCATGTGTACACACAAAAAAATCATAGCCATAAATGTCATTTTCTGTAAGTAGAAACATAATAGACTCTCTCATATACTTCCAAATGTAATTAAGCCCAAGAAAATTTCCACTTAACTCCAACTCAAAATTCCAATGACTTTCCAAATAATTTTAAGTTGTATTCACCAAAGGTATTTATTTACCTGAGAGAAACTGCATGTGGCCCATATATCTCTCTCACTGCCGACAAATCAGCTTCGAGTTGGGGGTGCTTGTGCAGCTCCCCGTCATAGTTCACCTGATGTAAAGGGATAATTTAGAAATGACTTAGGGTAAAGAGAATCAAAAAATTCAAAATACAAACAATCTCTTGGACAGGTGACCCTGTAGTTCTGCCATGGGCATTTTCTCTGTCGCCTTCATGAAAAAAGAATAGACAGCTCAGGGCTTCCCTGGTGTCGCAGTGGTTGGGAGTCCGCCTGCCGAAGCGGGGGACACGGGTTCATGCCCCGGCCCGGGAAGATCCCACGTGCCGCGGAGCGGCTGGGCCCGTGAGCCATGGCCGCTGAGCCTGCGCGTCCGGAGCCTGTGCTCCGCAACGGGAGAGGCCACAGCGGTGAGAGGCCCGCGTACCACACACACACACACACACACAAAAGTAGAGACAGTTCAGCAATACATTCACTAAAGTTCTTAGGTTCACATACATCTAGTATAATTTATTATGCTTAAAAAGTAATATTTGACTACTCTGATACGAAGACAATGCCAATGTTAAAAGGAGTGAAGTGGCAGATAATCTGAAAAACTTCTAGACTGAAAAAAAATATTTACTTCCCCCTGTAAGAATTAGCAGTGTAAATAAAAATCGAAACTGGAAGAATTATTTTGCAGAATGTTAGAGTATTATATTGGTTAAAGAATCATTAGGAAAAGTACCCCATTCCTAGTAAGGCATTCTGGAGACAGGAAACCTAGTTTTATTTATGTCCGTCCATACCTCTACTGCCTTGCATACACTTGATTGACAGATTACTAATTTCTGATTCTGAATGAATAAATTGACTTGCATTCTTTACATAATAATAACTGGCTTTAAAGCATCTCTTTAACATATTACCTTTCCCTTAAACTATCCAAGTTACAAAGCATATTGGATCAAGAAGTTTACAGAAACAGAACAAGACAACTTATATAGCCATATCCTAAAATCAAATGCTCAGTTTAAAATTTTAACATTGTTCTGGAAAAATATAATGAATTCTTTCATATAGATGCATATGTGGCTATGCTATTTTCATATATATAAATTACGATGTTTCTTCATAACAATTTTTCAACAAACTATAGTATAGAAGGAAAAGGAAGATAATGAATACAAATAATGAGGATGCTCGATAATTAGGGCCTATTAGTTTTTATAAAGGTTAATCACCTTCTATTTAAAACTAACAGTTCATGCTTTTATTAGTGTCACCATTTCAAAATATTGACTGAGCACAATATGCTTAATAAATGTAAAAGTTAAAAGCATAATAAGATGCTGTCTGTAAAACATCTGTAATGAAGTTAAGACAACTTCAATGTAAATAAATGATTACAGTCAAATAATTGCAAAAGTAACCATAATTCCTGAAAATATATAGAAAATGAGCGACAGACAAATTATAGGAATTTCCTTGTTAGTTACAGAACCCTGAACAACACACAGGTCTTTTAGATGACAAGCGCAGATTTCCACTAGAACGAGTATGGCTACTGCTACCTTTGAGAGTGGCTATTTGGAGGAGCTGGTGTGCTTACCTGTCCTCCATAATAAAATTCTTCAGAATCATTATCTCCTTCAGAATCTTCTTCCACCGTACTATTTTGTCTTGACTCCTTAAAATAATAGTAAGAAGGCAATTTTAATGGTCAAACTAGTTTTCCTCCTTCTGAAACTAAAGTAACAAATGACCATAATAGGTAGGTCTCATGCATACCACATGGATTTTAAATAAAAGAAATGTTGGTGCAGTACAAACCGAAAACAAAAAGGTAGTAAGAGACAATTTTGTGGGTGCATTAAGCTCTATGTATGTTTCACTGGTCTTGAGTTGTACAATTTAATATTTGATGTATATAAAAAGCTATGTTAATCAATTACAATTTGGGGTTTGTTCTGATAAAACATCTGAGCAGCTCACACTGATTCAATTTTTTATTAAAAAATTCCTCAGCGTTATTTATCCCAGACTGTTCTCACTTCCACTGCCAACTCCACATAATGGTATGAAAGAAAAGGCACTTTGAATCTAATAATATAAAGCTCAAATTATGAAAATAGATACAAATCACATTATGAAGAGAACTTTGTAGAAATTATCTTAGATTTCAGATTTCAAAAGGATATTTAATTAAATATGCTTGAACTTGAAGTTTGAGTTTCTAATTAACTGAACTGTGTCTAAAGTACAAACAAAGTAATAGAAAATGTGTCTAAAGTACAAAAAACAAAGATTCATCTAAAGTAACTATTCCTATCCCTGACCCTTTTAAAGTAATTAAGAGAAAAGGTAGCTGCTTTTAGACACAGGAATCTATTAATTCAATGTTTTGTAATTATCCCTAAATTTCTAGATAAAATTTCAAATTCCTAAGGCAAACAAAAAACCTAGAAAAGGGAATTTGGGTTTTGTAAAATACAAACAGTTTTTGGTTTTAGCAGCAATAATGCTAAATCAGTGATTCTCAGTTTGGCTACTGAAGAGCACGATGAATGGTACAACACTGAGGGGAAGGCAGGGTTGCATTCAGTGCATAGTTTTAAAACCAAAGAATGGTCGGGTGCCACCACATTCATTTTGTTTGTTTAATGTCCCAGTATTTACTTAGAGATTGAAGTAAACTTCTTGAAGGTGAGGAAAGGGGATATGTTTGTTGTTGTTGTTTTAACACTGGCCAAAAATAATAAGACTATACCCAAGCTCTGTGTTCCTTTAGCTAGAAAGATCACCTTTTACAGATGAAATTCTAAGGGTCTGATCAAAACTATGTATACCACATACAGTTAATCTAAACATACAGTTTAGAATAACATACGGTTATTCTACATATGTTACATAAGTGCTCTTCAATCAACTACATTATTTGATGAAAACACAGAGAACAAGTTAGGTTTTGTATGCACTTTATTTAGATTTAAACCAGATGTTCTTTCTATTACTTGAAAGGTAGCTAATTTTAGGCCACCATCTTTCCCATACATAAGTCCCTAAGCCAGGAGCATGTACTTCATTCACTGTATGCAATTTTAACCTAAATAATGATGATATTAACTACAAATACACAGTAAATTTCAAATATATCTATACTGTTTGAAGAAATATAATAAAACATAAAATGTAATTTACATACCTCCCCATTTTCCTTCTGTAATTTGGATTTTATGGATAAGCAACAGTTAATGTCATTTGTCTTTCTTAATTCTGAAAGTTATAATTAAAGAATCATTTTAGTTTTCAGTATACTATTTACCAAATATTTATAAGTTTCAGTATAAAAACACCCCATAGATGATTCTTTCCTTTGCAAGAGAAATTAAGGGATATTTTGAAATTATATTATGTTGGCGAATTATATTACATACAAACTATTCTGATGTTTCATTGCCCATAAAAATGTGCTCAAACTGAAGTGGCCACAGTACAAATTCCTTCAGTTCTCACTATATATTTCATGGGATCTACATTGCCTTCAGTATGTTTTTTAAATATTCAGTTTGTCTGGCAGTATCACTATGAATGAAAATATTTTCACAAAAGCAAATATCTGCATAAGGCATTTAAATGGGACTTTTTAAAAGTACTAATTTATGCATTTTTAAAACTGTTGAAAAACAAATTAATGACTTTAAATAGAAAATCTGTATGGAAAACCAGATTTATAGATGCCAAAGATAAATACTATATGGGTTAAAAGAAACCAAAAAACAAAGCTACCTACAATCAAGAAAATACTAACCTGGAATTTAAGAAAATAGTGTATTCCTATTACCTGTTGCTATTCGATGAAAAATTACTGGAATTGGCTCTGTAGTAACTAATACATCTTCATCATTTTCTGAACTTGACACATATGTATTATCTGCAAAAGAAATACAGACAACTAAAGGCATAGTAACTTGAAAAAGTACAACCTTTATTAAAAAAAATTAAGGTATAGCCACATCGCTTCCAACACTCATAAGGCACACACTACGGTTCTGATTAATCTCAGAAAAAAAATGAAGTAAATTGCAGGTTTATGTGCGAATTAATTGTAAATAGCTTCTTTAAAGATGTTTGCATCTCCTAGAGAAATATGGACTTTGGATAGAGACTATCCGAACACATCTCTAACATCCCATGCAGTAATGGATCACTTGGACGCAACTGGTTGCCTCAATTCATTGAAGAGCATCCTTCCCAACATCGGTATCAAGTATCTGGTAATATGACACACGACTGTTATTTTTTTTGCTCATTGATGATTACAGGGCATCTGTGACACAGCTATTCAACAAATATTTAACCAATTTTTAAATAATGGTCCTATAATACACTCATCAATGATGTATAAAAAATGTAAAAATATATATAAAAAATAAAAGTATAAAATAGACCTAACCAACAATAGAAGCCTGTATCAATTTCTGCTAGGAGAAATGAGTGTTCAGATGACTTACTGAACACATGATAAAAGATCTTGAGCCCAGTTTTCATAATATTGTGTCAGTACAATGAGAACATGATTTTTAAATGATCGATAGCTAAGTCATTACTTTATTTCCAAAGAAACATCTGTACTGTTTTTAGACCTTGAGTAGTGACAGTGATATGTATTCACAACATAGCCACAAAAGACTCTCAAAGTCACAAGGCTTTAAGTTATTCAGGAATCTGAGAGGAGACGGGGGTGGATTAGACTTGAAACAAAACAGGTTTGCCCCATTACTTTGATTTGTTCTAATTACAAATTTTGCCTTATTTCCTTTTCAAGTAGCATCTAGGAGGGTGTGAGGATTTTTGTGTTTATCAAGTGAGACCCCGGATTAAGAAACAGATTTAGTATAACTTTTTAATTACTGTCTCATCATATTAGGTGAGCCTTTGACTGCTTATCTGGGGTCTCTTCTGTCAGTAAACTCATACCTTCGGGTGAGGATCAACAGCTGCTCTGTTAAAACAGAGTTATTAAATTTCTTAACCCTCATTCAGAGGGTTCAGTCCATTTTTAAACCTCTTAAACCCTCATTCAGAGCCTTACTGATTCATTGTGCATAGTTCGGTTTTCCCTATGTACAATGGATTCCTTGACGCAAACTTGAGAAGAAAAAGAGCAATGGAAGCAATAGCTGACCACCAACTAGAAGGGAAGATCCAGAAAAATCTGGACAGTGGACTCCATATCATGGAATACCTCAGTGTCATGGAATGAGGAGGATTGTACCAAAGCATCAAGAGGCCAATAAATTAGAACCTTCTGTTTAAGAAAACAGGGAAATGAATAACTCAATTTAAAGGATCAAATGGCTCCCACAAAGTGCTGACACTGGAAGGCAGTGAGGTGTGATTCAAGACAATATAATTTAGTAAATAATTGTTGCATAACACCGAAAGACAGGATTAGGCATTCGACATATCATTTTCTAAGAGATTTTCTACCAGTCTGTATTTTGATTAGTATTTAAGCATTAGAACACTTTTAATTTCTGCTTTTGGCTTAATTTACCCAAACCAAAATGTTTTCAGTTTGCATAACAGTATCCATTAAATAACCATTATGATACAATAGGCCAGATCACAGAGGTGTATTCAAGTCAAGAACAGAAATGTAAGAGTAGACAAAGCACTTCAAATCTAGACTCTGCTACCAATTAGCTGTTGATCCCTTTAAATCTAAGCCACTGTCTGCTTAGTTATAAAAGGAAGAGGTCTGCTGATGACTTTGAGGAGCGTCCCAGCTGTCTGAATTGATTCTATGTTTTCTTTTGTTGTTGTTTAAATAATTATTTCTAAATCTTCCTCAACCTATTTTGATATCTGTAATAATACATTGTCTTTGTTTAGACATAGGAAAGGAGGACACAAAAAGGATAAAGAATGCATTTAAGGTAACAGAATGAGTCAGTGACAGAACAGAATGCTTTCAAACTCAAATTCCTTCACGGGAAGTCTCCCACTTGAGTCTAAGGCTGGCAATTTCTTTTCCTGAAAGCTTCCGGGGACAATTAGGTTCTTTAACATGTATGTTTTGTAGAGAACCTGTAGATTTTTGTTTAAGGCTGTTAACAGTATGACTATTTTCTCTTCCCTTCCCTACCAGACTAGGCAAGCATTACTGGACAAGGGTGAGATGAGTAGAGAGCTACAGAAACGCATCTCTTAAATTACTGCTTTTATTCTATTTCTAATTTAAGCCAGCATTCCATTATTCATTACTATGTAACTTAATAGAAATAATTATAAATAATAACTATACTGGTTTTATAATACAATCTGCATATTTCCTCTACATATGATATTCATGTCAACCACCAAGCCAATTATTATCCCTATTTCAAAGATGAGGAAACCAAGGCTGAGAAAAATTAATTCACCCAAATTATTTAAGTAACAAAGTAATTACACAGGGCGTAGTAAGTGGTAAAACTGTCTGAATCCAAACATCAATGCTTTGCTATGTTTTTTTATATCAAAATATTGCCACTCAACAATTGTAGTATCTTGTAAAACATGTAAGAGAAACGAGAGAATTCATACCCTCCAGTAGGTAAGCCTCCCAATTAAAGGTGGTAACTGATGAGAAAGAATTCTGCTGGCCTGTCACAACAGAGTCAATTATCTGTGATTTGTAATATACTTACCTTTAAAAAACAGAAAACTGTCTACAGTAGAAACTCCACAGGTAAACTAGAAGGCTGCTTTATTTCTTCATTTTATTTGAAGAGCCAATATGTCTTTAGTATTTCATTTTTATACATGTTATTATGTATACCTAAAACTGAAGACCCTCTCAATTTTCATTTTCACAAAAACAAACTATGAAATGAGTTCCAATAGATGGCACAGGTAACTTAATAGATTAAAACTATAAAATGGCAAATCTGCTAAGGAATAAATAGGATGGCATAATCCTGAATTTGGAGGATTATGCTAATACATGTTCATAGGGCAAAAAAAATTCCATACTGTATTTTCAAACTTAGGTGATGAGCTAAGCACTGAACCGTATTATCCAGAAAAAGTAGGAAAAAAATCCTGAGGAACATTAGCAGAAGGAATTAATAAAAGTACTATCAAGATTACTGCATTTAGAAATTAAAAGCAACATAAAAGAGAGCATTTGTTTGAAATAATTTTTAAAATAGGCAAGCTTTCTGGAAGAAAAATCAAGGGGAGAAAAAGACAAGAATAAATATAAAATAACAGGGCTTCCCTGGTGGCGCAGTGGTTGAGAGTCCGCCTGCCGATGCCGGGACGTGGGCTCGTGACCTGGTCGCTGTTCTGCATACTCCCTTGATAAGACACACACACACACACACACACACACACACACACACACACACACACACACATATATGTTTTATTATATATAGAGATATATATATATATATATATATATATATATATATATATAAAATAACAGAAATGAGAAAGGAGAAATAACCACAGAGATGCAGAAGATTTTTAGACTTACAGGCTGAATACTATTAAAAACACTTTTTGCTGAAAAATTTGGACATTCCTCCAACATAGTGGGCTTTCAAGAAGAACACATGTTTAAAAATGACTAAGAAATAGAAACAAAGAACAGATTCATCAATCATGGCAGAAATATATGACAACTGCTATAGAACCATCCCTAAAAAGATACCAGGTGGCGCAGTGGTTGAGCATCCGCCTGCCGATGCAGGGAACACGGGTTCGTGCCCCGGTCCGGGAAGATCCCACATGCCGCGGAGCGGCTGGGCCCGTGAGCCACGGCCGCTGAGCCTGTGCGTCCGGAGCCTGTGCTCCGCAACGGGAGAGGCCACAACAGTGAGAGGCCCGCGTACCTCAAAAAATTAAAAAAAAAAAAAAAAGATACAGGCTCAGATAGATTTGCTAGCAAGTTCTATCAAATGCCAAAGAACAGTTTAATTCCATCATCAATTTGAAGTATTTAATAACAGAGTACATGACAAAATACACGTAGTTCTTATAGAGCAGCCTTAAGATATCTGCTAATATATAACTTGTCACCTTCTATTCAAAGGAGAAAACATACACGATACCTCATTAGATGCCAAACAAGAATTCGATAAAGACTTAATACTCCTTCTTAAAAAAAAAAAAAAAAAAAAAAAAAAAAAGCTTAGTAAATGAGAAAAGGAATGATACTTGCTTTTCTGAAAGCAACTAGAAGCAAGCTCACTAATTTTGAGAAAAGGAACAAAGCTGCCAATTTTCATATCTATTATTAAAAATCATTCTGGAAATTCCAGCCAGTACAAGAGGAGAAAAAAATACAGGTATGAATACTGGAAAGGAAGAGCAAACATATAATTTTGTTTGTTTGTTTGTTTTTTGCGGTACGCGGGCCTCTCACTGTTGTGGCCTCTCCCGTTGCGGAGCACAGGCTCCGGACGCGCAGGCTCAGCGGCCATGGCTCACGGGCCCAGCCGCTCCGCGGCATGTGGGATCTTCCCGGACCGGGGCACGAACCCGTGTCCCCTGCATCGGCAGGCGGACTCTCAACCACTGCGCCACCAGGGAAGCCCATAATTTTCATATAATATTATCTATATAAGAAATCAAGCGTATTAACTGAACTCCTAGTACAAATAACTATGGATTAAAATTTAATAATGGGGAACATATTATAACAGTAATATTCACTTTGAAGAAAAAGCTCCATAGAAATACTACTACTACTTCTTCCGCAGAAGTGATAGGAATCCGAACTGAATTATAGACTTGGTTACCACCAAACTACACATCCTTGCGGAATATTTAACTTCCCTCAGCGCATTTCTTCAAGTATAAAATGTCATGATAGCACTTGTTCTGTCTATACACAAACTGGTGTTTAGAATCAATTCAATCATGTATAAGAAAATACGTGGCATCAACCAATTCAAAATTCTATCCCCAAATGCACTAATCTCTCTCTCCATCTCTGTGTTTTATTTACACTTCTCTTTTATAAATTAAATTATATTGGCAATTCACTATGCACTTGCTTCATGATGTAAACTCAATTTTAAAAAGCACCAATGATAACCAATACTTTATGTTTTAATTTTAATTTTTGTATACTGTAGTTCCAGTGGGGCTCCCATATGGTGAGAAAAACCAGAGTAATACTTCTTGACCACAAGAGGGAGCTAAACATTTGGTTCACTTGGTTTATTAAAGGCATCTACCGTATTTCTTGCGCTACAGAATAATTCACTTACTGTCTTCAGGGGGCTTTCATTTGTGGCATTATTTCTATCACCCTGACTTAAATGTCCTGCATCTCTCTTGGCTGACATCTCTAGGAGCTGCCACAGATGAGAAGCATAATAATCATAATATTTACAATAAATAGTGGGGCTTTTATTTTCCTAACATATTTAAGCAAACATTCAGCATCAAAAACATACCATATCATAATAAGGGGGAGGGCTGATTTCAAAACCAGCTAAGAAATTTTTTTTCTTTATACATTTCATGTCTTGGTTCTTCCAATAATATCTGCCTAGAATACTTTTTATAGTACTATTAAAAATAGGCATATTTTTAATAATGAATAACTCTCCTTGTAAAATTGCACAATAGTTTTATAGAATGCTATGCTTAAAACATATGGAGATCATAGCAAAACAACTGTAAGGGAACTTATGATATGTGAAAATTATTTTAAAGTGTAACATTTGATCTTACAGAAAGGTTAAATGCATAATGCAAATTGCCACTGGAAATACTTAGCTTAAAGGCTAAAAAAATATTTTACAATATCCTCGTACCACATTATTAACTAATTATTTTTTAAAAAATACTCAAAGTATACGTAATCAAAGTCACTTATAGCAATCTACTCATTTTATACAGAAAATTATGATCCCAATCATGCATAGTAAGTGAATAAAATGGCTAGATTTGAATAGGAATTGGAATTATGATTTCAATTTATGACCCTGACAGATCAGAACTGTTAGTTTGGTAACCATCAGATTTTATAAAGTAAGAATGCTGGAGTAAAAAATATATATATGAAACATAGGCAGTTAAAATTTGCTAATCTTTGCCACAGAATATGATAAAAAATAGATTCTTGCATTATACTTTTTTCTTTGGGGTAAACTAATCAAGTCATATTTGATCTACACTAAGTCTACAGTGCTCGTGCTCTTACTCAAGACAAAATTACAGACACCATTAGTGAGAAAAACATTAAAGATAAAGTCCAAATTATCATGACTTAAATATTGGCATACACATCCTGGGCTCTGGTGAGATTACAGTCAGTCTAGAAAGTAAGACTGAACATGGCCTAGAAGAAAGATACTGGTTTGATCTACAGAAAAATAGATCTGTAGTGACCTTACATTCAGTTTTCTATGGACAAATGTGTGTGGATCTAGTAATCTATTTCAGGACACATAGTGAGGACATCTGTGCATATGCAAGAAGGCTAGTACAGTCTAGCGGTATGGTCCACGGGCTCTGGACTATTGGGTTCAAATTGCAGTTCTTCCTCTTACTAGTAGTGTCGTCATTCAACTGTAAAATGAGGATATTATAGTAACAACCTCAGAGAGTTGTTGTGAGATGTGTTCAACTGTATATAAATTTAGAGAAATTAAGAAAGGCCTATTATTTTCAAATATTACTATTTTTTTAGCTATTATTTTAGCTGTTACTCCTACCCATTATTTTTAGAGTATGAAAAGCTAAATAATGTTCTAAAGCCAACAGCTAAACCGGTTTAGAGAATCTTCATTTTAATTGTAATGAGGTAAATATACAGGATGAAGCTATCATATGGACTCAAGGAAAGTAGTTTCATGGGAGAACTATTTTGATTCTGTACTGTGTCTCAGGGTGAGACATGTAACTCACAGGCAATCAAAAGAATTCTTTTATATTAAGTCTTCCCCTGCCAACCCTTCACCCCTAGATATATTTATATACATTTTACATGTCCAGAAGAAAAAGCTATTCAAAAAATCATGGCATGAATATTTGTAATAAAAAGAAAAAGAAAAACATACCTGGGTAATCTTCAGATACATGTACTGAATAGGATACACTGTTAAAACAGGAAAAAAAAAAAAAAGAGAGAGAGAAAAGAAAGGCTCAAGTTACTGCTAAGGCAAACGCTTTTACACAATGAAAACCAACCCCGTGTTACCCATTACTTTATATAGATATAAGTATAGATAACAAAATGGATTAGAAAACGTCTTTGATATTTGACAGAGGAAACTTACAGATTTTTAAGATATATGACATAGTAATATATGTCTTTTGTGATACTTTTTTAATTATAGCTAGGTCTTTTATCTCAGCAATGTCTAACATTCAGTAATTTATGATCATGTGCATTGTTTGCTCAGGTTTTATCAAATCAGCTTTTCTTAGCAAAAGAGAAGTATTTCTCCTGTTTAGTACGGCACTCAAGAATTATTTAAACATTTATTTTTAATACTGTTTCCTCACAATATGCTGTGCTTTTCAAACACTTCCTTTTCTTCAAAGAACTAACAAAATTATGACAGTGTAACTAATAGCTATTCATCAGCCAATCTTTCATCATTGCTATATATAATAAAGAAACTACCTCCTGTTCCCAGAAGGGTTGAGTTGTTTCAAAAATCATTGATAACAACTCCTTTTTCAGTAACTCCACTGTCTCTATGTACCTTTCTCATACGACATGCGGGGACTTGTCATACTTTGTTTACTCTACTCTCTGTGTCAGGTAGATTGCAAGTCTCCTGAGGTTAAGGTCCATGTCTATTTGTATTTTCAGCACAATTACCTATGGTAAACACATAAGCATGACGCACAGCACACTTTCAATATTAGCTTTTTGGATGGGTCAGTGGAGCTGCCACCTGTCACAGAAAAGTCAAAATTGAGTTCGAGTTCAGCCAAAATAACTGCCCGTTAAGACCAAAAACATATCAATTCTCTTTGAAGAAACGTACAGAATACAGAGCCTATGTAACGTATCATTCACAAAGTGAAAACAGTCCAAATTACTTGACGTGAACAAACAGGAACCTTGAACCAACATTCGAGAGAAAATTTCACCCAAGTGTTGGGATTAGCCCTCAGTGATGTTAAAACAGTTAATAAGTATGGTTAAGGATGTAAAGGAAAATCCAATCTCAAGAAGAAACAAACAAACACAAAGACATCATCAGGGTCTTGTGGGACACTAGCAAAACAGCAAATATTTTATATAATTAGAGTTTTAGAAGGTGAAAAGAGGGAGAATAATGCAGGGGGAAAAAAGCTGAAAATCTCCTAATTTGGGTGAACGACATAGATGTATAGATCGAAGAAGCCCAGAAAATCCCGAACAGGATATAAGTGCAAAGAAAATTAATTCTAGGTGCACATAGTCAAACTGCTGAAAACCAAGTAGAAAAAAAAAAAATTTAAAGAAGAGAAAAAAGTGGCACATTACTTGTAGGGAATCAGTAGGGAAACAAGAATCAGTGTTAAGTTTTCATAAGAAACTATGGAGGACACAGGACAGTTGAACAGTAAAGAGCTGGGGCGGGAGGGAAACGGGGGGGTAAACAAACAACTATGAAACCAGAATTCTTTATCCAAGCTATATATCTGTCAAGAATGAAGGCAAATAAAGAAGCTTTCAGATACGAGATAATTGTGGAAACAGGTCCCAGCAGACCTAAAGTATAAGAAATCCCAAACGAAGTTCTTCAAGCTGAATGATATCAGAAATTCAATTACCCAGAAGGAATGAAAAGCACCAAAAATTGTAAACATAAAAGACTATTTTTCTCTTAATGTTTTTAAAATATACATAGTTGTTTAAAGTAAAAATTCTAACACTTCATAGTGTGATTTATAACATATGTAAATGTAGTACACATGACAGTTACAGCATAATGTCAGGGAGGGCTTAAACGGTCACATACAGTTTCAAGGTCCTTAATCTTATGGGAAATGGTATAATATTAACCCTAAATAATAACTCTAAGAAAACTTCGAATATATATTGTAATTCCTAGAGCAAGCACAAAATAAGATTAAAAACAATAATAAATTAAATGGAATTCTAAAAGCATTTTGGAACCTTTAATCCAAAAGAAAGCAGGAACAGAGGAACAAAAAACAAGGGGCAAATAGAAAACAAAATAATAAATGGTGCCTGAATCCTACCATAGCAAGAATTGCCTTAAATGCTAATGGACTAAACACATTGAATAAAAGGCAAAGGTGAACAGATGGATTAAAAAAAGCTAGATCCAACTCTATGCTGTCTTTAAGAGATCCACATTAAATAAAAAGACACCGGTAGTTTGAAAAATTTTAAATGGAAAAGATATACCATGCAAAGGTAAGCATAAGAAGACTGAAGTGTTTAACAAAGACCTCAAGACAAAGATACAAAGAGATCATTCATAATATAAACGGGTCAATTCATCAGGATGATGGCACTATAATCATGAATGTGCATGTACCTAATAACACAGCTTCAAAAACCATGAGACAAAACCTGACAGAATTAAAGGGAATAACAGACAACTCCACAGTCATAGTATGAGAAACTGACAGAACCAACCCCCCTTCCCCCCAAAAAACTCATTAAAGACACAGATGATCTAAACTAGATTTTCACTGAAAACTACAACCACAAAAGATATTCAAAAGAATATCTTTTTCGGGCTTCCCTGGTGGCGCAGTGGTTGAGAGTCCCCCTGCCGATGCAGGGGACATGGGTTTGTGCCCCGGTCCGGGAAGATCCCACATGCCGCGGAGCGGCTGGGCCCGTGAGCCATGGCCGCTGGGCCTGCGCGTCCGGAGCCTGTTGCTCTGCAACGGGAGAGGCCACAACAGTGAGAGGCCCGCGTACCACAAAAAAAAAAAAAAAAAAAAGAATATCTTTTTCTTTTCAGGTACACTTGGATACAATATTCACCAAGGTAAATCATATACTGGTCTGTAAAACTAGTCTTAATAAATTTGAATGGATGGATGATCAGGGTTCAGTAGTTTATATCCTGGGTTTCCTGGCTCATCTTGTCCTACGACACTAAGTCGTAAGTCCTCAAGAAGCAACTGCCTTTTAGAACTTGTGACTGGGCTTTGTGACTGTGACCACAGGCGATGCAACCCCCCCCAGGCAAGCCCAAGTCTCCAGACTCCACCAGCCAAATCCCTGGCATGTTGCTTAGTCCTTGGAAAGAGATTAGGCAGAGACAAGAAAGACTAAATAAAGAAAAGAGTAGGAAAGAAAGATGGTTAGTAATGAGACCAAGTACTGATATACTGTTCTTTCATAAAGCATATTTAATTGCTCAATTAATTCAAGAAGCATTTCTTGGTAACCTGGTAGAAGCCAAACACTGTGTTAATGCCCAATAAGATTTAGGTAGGAAAAAATCAGGAGATAACTGAACAATTAATTCAGAGGGAAGCAAAGAATATGAAACATAATGAATATGCTAGACAAAGGAACTTGAATATTTTAAAGCACAACAGTCCTTTTTTTCTTAATAACTATAGATTCACATGAAGTTACACGGATAGTGCAGAGAGGTGTCATGGATCTTCACCAAGTTTCCCCCACTGATTATATCTTCTGTTCCTACAGCACAACATCAAAAGCAGGAAATCAACATTAGTGTAAAATCTGGGTACAGTTCTATCTATGTCATTTGTTCACATTTGCTTTGTGTGCCCACTATCACAAATCCAGATACAGAACTATCTGATCACTCAGAGAGTTCCCTCATGCTGCTGTCTTCAGGGTCAAGGCTGTCTCCCTTCACCCCAGCATTCCTAAACCCAGGCAGCCACTAATCAATTCTCCACCTCTGTAATTCTGTCATTTCAAGAGTATTATATAAGTGAAATCAGACTGTGAAGCATAAAAGAATTTTAAGACAAAATAAGTGTCTTGAAAAAATTACTGTGATTGGAAACATTTAGGATAGACTGAAGAGGAGAGACATTGAATTAAGTAATAAAATATGAGCAAATATCAGTGAGGAGGTGCCTATTGGAAAGGAGAAGGAAGAACAAATGGCAGATGTTGAACCCCAGCCAAGAGCCCAGCTTTGGGCCCTGAATCAAATGCCAAAACTTAGAAGATAAAATAACCATGCCAGTGGAGCCTCAAACAAGCTGGGGGAAATATACACCATGATCCCATGTGAATTTATTTTCCCACAATTCATTCCCTTCTACAATGGAACTGTACTATGCAGAAATGAAATCACTGATGATCAAGGCAACCCTTTATCTGGCAGTACTATGTGACAGAACCTGGGACCTTGCCAGAGATTATCCTCAGTACTAAATTTGGTTAATTCTCAATAGCTTACCATCTCAACCAACAGCACTTGGTTTCATCTTTCATCCGAATTAATGTTTAAATCCAAAGTGAAGCCTTAATACATTCCCATGTCTAACTCCAATTAGAAAGACTGCTGTGATTAGAGCCAAACAAACAGGATCAAATTCTAGCTTTAAGCTGGGTGGCATAAGAAAAGTCATTTCTATACACTCAGCTTCCATCCCTTTTCAGTAAAATGGGGGAATCCAGACCTACCTTACAAGCCCGCTGTGATGATTTAATGGCTTAACAGCTGTAAAGTCCCCAGGACAACGCCAGACACACAGCAGCAGGTGCCAAGTAATTTTAGTCAGCTTCCAGTACAAGCAATGAAAATTTACAGAAGTGAAATTTTACATGAATGAATATTCTCTGGGGAACTCGATTTGCTCAAAATCACAATATATTACATTTTTCAGAGACCAAAGCTAACATGGATGATTTTATTTTATGATTGTATTATCCTCATGATATTAAGAGACATTCCCATGTTCATGATCACACCTAATTTTTCAAATACAAAATAGAAAACAAAAGCCCTACAAAGTAATTCATCAGCCCCTGTGATATATAGCATCTTCTTGGTGTACACCCGAAGGAATATCACCAGAGCTGTAAAATCCAAATCAGTTTCACTAACAGAGTCCTTATGGAAACAATCTAGTATCAATAGAAGCAGACATGCATGATTAAGCTAAAGGACCTAAAAGGTA